AAAAAACCTTCTGAATCAAGCATATTATCAGTAGGTTGAAATAGGAACACACTCTCGTCAATGTTCAATTCAAAGCCTGAAAGTTTTTTTAGATCTAAGTAGTTGCAAAAATGCTAAAATCAATCACATTAGGGGAAACATTGTGTCTTTAATTCATTTAGCACCATTTAAAATAAGCACACAAAGTTATATGACTAATATAACTTGAAATTTTTTTATACTAAGGGGGTGGTGATAACTCCTGAGTGTTTAATGCATTAATAAAAATCAACTTATGTTCTACTTGTTTTCAGTGTGTTAGAAATTTTTAAATGAAACTGTAGACATTTCCTCCTACTTTGAAAACTGAATGTCAGGGCTGAATGAACCGAAGCCTTTAGAAGTACCTGCATAGAGGCCAAGGTACTCTCTTAAGCCTAACAGCTACTTACCCATTACCACCACCTTTTCCTTTTGCTGTATATGGTTGTGGCCTACAGTATTGTATTTGTTATTTATCAGGTTGTGATTGTTTTATTATTGTTTATGCCAAATGTTAATTGCCAAGCTTGGAGTGACCTAAAGCATTTTTTAAAAGCATGACTAGATTTACTTCAGGATAACTTATGAAAACCAAATTTGAAAAGCCACAGGTGTTGATTGTTATAACATGCTGCCATTGTTGATTGCTAGAGCTTCTGTTAGCACTTTAGATACAATTGAAACTACGCTCTATTACATGTGAAAAGCTTAATAAATTCTGTCTATCAGTAATATAGGTCTCAATACTTATTATGAGACCAATGGTCTGGAAACAACTCATTGTATTAAATAATCAACTGGTGTCTATGCTAAGAAAACAGTTGTGTAACCATCTGCTTTAAATCACTACTTAATGCTATCAGATTAATATTATAAATTATTTCCTTGTAGAGGCTTTAAGGTAAAGATTGTCGAAGCATTGTCCTGGAGGAGTGGATCTGTAGAAATTTGTTTTATAGGAACATTATGGTTACTCAATATAACTGTTAAATTATTTTTTCTACCAATTAGTCTTTCAACTTTTTGTCACATCTTCTTTTCATCCCATTGTTTCTTGGGTGTCCTGCCCTGTTACTATCTTTTCAACAAGGCAGAATAGAATAAGATAGCAGTTTTAGTTGGGTGAAATATCCTCAAATCTCTTTACTCTATGGGGAGAAATGACAAATGGGTGGACGGTGGAATGGGTGTATGTGGGTATTGGTGATGGTTGTGAAAGAAGAAATCAGAGAATCGCTTTTCTAGACCTCTGCCTATACTTATATAAAAATGATTTCATCTGTTGCATGAAATAGAGGCATGAATAAAAATCAGCTTATTATGTTCTACTTATTTAAGACTACTCTGCCTCTGAAAAGCAGTAGCAAAAAGTAGAGGGAGGATAAATTTAGAAAAATAAACACGGGTTTAGAAATATTATTCAAAATGATCTTTGTGGGAGATTCAATATTAGGAATTCACAGACAGATAAGAAATTTGGAATATGGAAATTACTAAGAACACTGGAGAGAGGTCCTCATCGCTCTCTCGTGTCTTGTGTTCGATACATAAGAAAACAGCAACTGGTGAGTGAAATCGCAGATATCTGAGGATTCAAGAAGTGTGATAGAGGAAAATAATCCCTGAAATTATCCCCCTTTACAAAGGAATGTCCTTGGGAAAGAAGGCAAGAATTCTTAGGCTTATGAGACCAAAGTAACCAGTGGAAGAAAGTAGATCTCATTGGATTATCATTTTAGTAACTCAAAGAAACTACTGAAATAGAGAAAAAACATGCTTAACTTGGAATGACTATTTCTGGATCTGTTAATCAAGAAATACACTGTCTATTTTTTTGTATAGTATTTGAAAACAATAAAAATTCTTTAATTTGGGTATGGGTTCTTTTGTATGTATTACCTGTCTGTCGAGGAAACAAGTGAGTCCATGACAGCTTCTCTGCAGACCCTTCATATCCTGGATACGGAAAGAACCATCAGCAGCTATACGGATTCAGTGTATGAAACAAAATTGAAAAGCTACATGCCAACTACCAGAAGGCATTTATAAGTGACCGTTTGCTGTGTATGTGCCAGAGGAGATGCTGCATAAGGCCCCACGTCAGGATCATGTTTCTTTATGGCTCATAAGACACAGATGAAAAGTCAGATTTTTGCCCATAGTGGAGAGACATTTGGCCATTAATTAGTGACTGTCCCATTGTAAGTGGATTAATTATAGAGACCATGTTGGGTTACAGTTAACATAAAACATTGTCACGTTTAAGTAAACCTGCACACCTTACATTTCACAATTTCTGTATTCTGATTCTGAAATCAAAATGAACCAAAATCAAAGTGAGCCGAAAGAATTCACTCTCAGTTTGTAAGCCCCCAGAGGGCAGGGCCTGCATGTGCCTATCACCTGCCGGGATTTCATACTTAAATAAATGCTATTTGACGACTACAATTCTTGCCAACTCTCCTATGTAATTTCGCTGTCACTTAGGTTGCTTGGTAATGTGATTATTTTAATTTGGTGGTTTTCCTAGCACACAGCAAAAACCAAACACCATGTTGTTGTTTGAATATTTTTAGGCGGGTGTGATCTTTCACTTTAACACTCTTTCAACTTTGTGCTTCAAAGTTTACCGCTTGGTTGCTAGGATTAATTCTCTGTTCTTCTTTCCCAGTGTGACTATTTTCTGGTCTTCTCTTTTTCCAAGTCCTTAAATGTTATCGCCTCATCCCTAGTTGTCTTTTACATGTTCCCCTTAATCTTATTTATGGCTGAAATGACCATCTTTGATACTAATATGTCCTCAATGTATCACTAGCCCTATCCTTTTTTCCAGGTTTTCATGCATGCTTAAGAGGCATGAATTTCTAATCTCCTCCTCGTCACCTCCACCTAGCCACAAATAGCCACTATTTATTGAGCTTTCAGTAAATGTTGGGCGTGTTACACTCACTTAATTCTTTACTCAGGGATGTGGCGGTGTCATGTTATAGATAAGATCACAGCCCGTAGACAGGGAGCCAGGACTTGAACTATTTTCTATTCACTTTCCTTGCCTCCGCCATTATTGATATTTTTGCAAAGTGGACTAACAATTTGCAAGCTAAAGAGGAAAAAGGAGGCCTGTATTTTCTAATAAAGCAAGAAGGAAAGCATGGTTCAAGGAGTAGAGCAGCATCAGAATCCCTAAGGTGCCATGAGGGTGTGAAAACACTGCCATTCGAGCTGATGGTACAGTTGGTGCTGATGCAGGCAAGGACAGAGTGCAGACATCTGCTGAGCTGCTCAGTCCTTCACGGTCCCTCTCTGATGCTTCTGCTGTGCTACCAAAGGTGGAGAACTAAGCTTAACTTGAAGTCAGTTGATACAAACTTATACATTAAAACTTTCAGGATCTGTCCCCAAATGCCTTTTGTCACAATCCTCAAGGAATTCATCATCTGGCTGAGGTAGGATGTAAGTATAATACATCTATTGAATTTTAGCGGTGAGACCTTAATAATCGTTCTGTAGGTACTGATTGAGTTAAGTTTACAAAACACTTCCTTAAATTTAGCACAGGGCCCCATAGCTTGGTTTTACAAGTGAGGAAACCAAATCAACAATATCAAATTGGCTTGCCTGAGATCAGGATTGGAGTCAGGGCTAGAATTAAGGGTTCTTAAGGTCACTGGCCAATGTCCTTTGCAGTTTACCACACTGTCTCCTGAAGGGAAGTATAAATAGCAACAGCCATAGAGAATACTGCAAAAATGTCTTAGGCAAGACACATTAATGATCAAGGGAAATAAACAGTTTAAGTGCCAAGAAGGAGAACTGACCCAGAGTAGAATTTATCTTATGCTCTCTATTGATTTGTAGGGATTATCCTCTGGTTGGCTAGTAATAATACATGGTGCCTGATTCACAAAACTACACATCACCCCGAGGTTAGCGTACTTTCTAGTGTTGTGTATACTGTGTATGCAATTGATAAAAACAACAAAAAGACTTAAAATCCGTAGAAAAAGGCATTATTAAACTAGGGGCTGTGGTCATACATAAAAAGTCCTTCTAAGTACTTGCAAATTAACTAGAAAGGTGCTTGCCACCTCCCCCCAAAATAACTAATGGAGGATTAATATAAAAACGCTGGGTTGAAGATGGATGGACAGCTTAGTTAGTAAACACATTTTCACGTCTAGTGTTAGGCTCGGTTTTGAAGAGGGCGGGCAAATTCCGGGAATTAACATTGGGAGAAAAAAGGGAGACAATCGAGAGAGTGGCGGCCCCTGGTGGGCCCTATTTAGGCACATTCCAAAATTTCTTAACTTCCTAGAAGCTCTCTAGAGGTGACAAAAGCATCTCAGAAAGATTATTCCTGTAAAGTGTGTGGGCTGAAAGAGGAAGGGGCGAAGACAGACCAACTTGGATCCAGGATTTCACAGATGTTTACCGAGCCCTACTATGTGCCGGTGTCAGGGATCCAACAGCAACGTTCGTGCGCTCAGTAGAGCTTACAAAGTTGGGAGAGTGAACGCTAAACAAAATTACTATAAGCGAACTATATGGCATATTAAGAAGCGCCAGATGGTACAGAGAAAAACGGGGGAGCCCGGTAGCGTGTGTTTGGGGTTCCAATTCTGAACTAAATCATCCGGGAGAATCTCGTGTTTGAGCACAGATCTCAAGAGCGGTGGGGGGACGAGGCTTGGGGCCACCCGGGGAGAGGCCCAGGCGGCGGGGCCAGCAGGTGTCGCATTACCAGTTTTCAGCAGCACAAAGCCTAATGGAGGCCCAGGAGGACGGAACTCCAGAGAGTCAAAAATGCTTTCCACGCAAAACTTGGCGGATCGCTGCGTGCAGGGCCACCAACCATCTAGGCCACCACTCTGCTTAAGCATCTCGGGCGCCACACTCCCACCCTGCACCGACTAGACCACGCCCGCCGCGCGTCCGTGCTCTACGGCAAGGGGGCGGGCCTCTCGTGGCTCCGCCCCGTGCCCTGCACGCTTGCGGAAAGGTCGAAAGTCAGAGGTCGTGCAGCCATCATGGCGGCGCTGTGTCGGACCCGTGCCGTGACTGCCGAGAGACATCTCCTGCGAATGTTTCTCCTCTCCCGGCCCTGTCGAGGCGTAGGGACTGAGAGTGCCTCCGGGAGCGAGAATTCCGAGCCCACGGAGCCTAGCACGCGCCCAGGCGGCTTCGCGAGCGCTCTGGAGCGGCACTCGGAGCTGCAGCGGAAGGCGGAGCTCGGGCAGACGAGAGTGAGTCGCGGGAGCGACGCCGGCGACGCGGTGGGCGGGGCCGGGAGCCGGGGCGGAGCCGGTGTAGGGGGTGGGGTGGGCCGGGAGACGGGGGCGAGCCCCGGTGTCGGGGGTGGAGCCGAGAGTCGGGGCGGGGCCCGGCGTCGGGGGGGAGCCTGAAGTCGGGGCCGTGGCCCGGCGTCGGGGGTGGAGCCTGAAGTCGGGGCCGTGGCCCGGCGTCGGGGGTGGAGCCTGAGGTCGGGGCGGGGCCCGGCGTCGGGGGTGGAGCCGAGAGTCGGGGCGGGGCCCGGGGTCGGGGGTGGAGCCTGAAGTCGGGGCGGGGCCCAGCGTCGGGTGTGGAGCGGGCAGCCGGGCTGTCTCTGGGTCCGGCTGCTGGCCACGTGGAACAGAGCGCGTGGTTGGTGTTTTCCCTCCATTTATTGCGCTTTTGTTCCGTATTTACACGCTGAACGTGCGCTGTCCGCACTCTGCTCGCATCTCCTTGGGACGAGTGCTGGAAGGGAAGCCAGCAGGGGGCGCTGCCAGCGAGGCGCAGTAGGGAGACTCCCGGGACTCGGAGGCCAGCGGGGCTCCCGGCGGGGAATTCAGGGCGCTCTGCTCGTCTTGTTCTGCGCAGTAGCTCCAGCGTGGAGCTCGGTGTGTGCGGTGCAAGGCTCTTGATAAGTATTATTTAATTCAGCGGAGAGGTGAATGAGAGAATTACTGTCTCTGTGAACTTGAGCAAGTCATTTAACCTGTCAGTGCTTCACTCTCCTTTTCTGTAAATGACCTTTTTTAAATATAAAATTTCCGTTTGTCTCAGGCAGTACCTTTGTATGATACGATAGGATTGCTAGGTAAGTGAAATGGAAGAAATAGGCATAAATACAAGCCAGAGTTTTTTTTTTTTTTTATTATCGGATGCAGCAGAAATGAAATTGGATGTCTGGCAATATTAAATTATATAAAAATAAACTCTCAATTTCTGTACTTATCTCCTTGGGGACCGGTACTAAACAGTTCACGGGCTGGTAGTATCCTGAATTATAAAAAACTGGAATTTAGTAGGTAATCGTTAGTAGTTATCATTATTGACAAAAATTTCCTAAAATCCAAGATTAGGACAAGCCTGATGTATTCGTTTTCTATTTGCTGCATAGCAAATTACCGCTAATTCAGTGGCTTAAAAGAACACAAATTTATGATTTTTAGTGCTGTGGGTGAGAAGTCTGATAGGGTCTCACTGGGCTAAAATCAAGGCATGGGCAGGGTTGTATTCCGTTCCCTAGGTTCTGAGGGGGATCAGTTTCCTTGCCTTTTGCAGTTTGTGGAGGATGCGTGCATTCCTTGCCTCCTGACCCCCTTCTTCTGTCTTCAAGGCCAGCCACGGCAGGTTGAGTCCTTCTCACGTGACATCACCATGACCTCTCTTCTGCCTCCCTCTTCCACTTTTAAGGCGCCTTGTGCTTGCATTGGGCCCACTCAGATAATCCGGGATGATCTCCCTGTTTTCATGTCACCTGGTTGGCAACCTTAATTCCATCTGCAATTTAATCCCCCTTTGCTATGGAAGGTAACCTATTCACAGATTCCAGGAATTCAGATGTGGCCATCTTTGATGGGAGGGCGGGGGCATGATTCTGTCTCCCATACCTGGAGAAGTCATGAAATCCCAGTGGAATGCTGGTGACTGACCTGAAGCCGTCTAAGGGATGGCTTTTGGATCCATCCTTGGGGAAAGGCTTGGAGGATTAGGTGCAGTAAGGTGGGAAACATAGATGTGATTCATTTCCCTTCCCCCAAAATACTTATGAGGAAGGGAATTTCTCTATTTCTCACTCACACCCCTCTCCCCTACCACATATACCACATTCGAAGCACCTTCAGAAACCCCTAGAAAGTAATTCTCAATTGCTGAGTTAATTGTGGCAAGAGTGAAAATTGTAGCATCACATGGAGAGTGTTTGAAACTCAAAACACTTCCCCTTTTCCCTTCCCCCTTCCGTTTTTCCGGGAGGAGCCTGGGGTGTTTCCTGGCAGTCCCAGCACGTCTGTTAGATTTGCTCAGTCCAGCTCAGGCTGAACGGAGGAGTCTCTCTAGGCGGTTTTCCACCTAACACAGTTTAGAAAACATTATTCTGCTGGAAGGAAGTTAAAACGTGTCTGGTGGCATGCGGCTCACCTGTCCCCTGTGCACAGTTTTCCCACATCTTGGTTTAATGGAAGGAGGGCAAATTCCCTGGGAAGGAGGGTACTGGGAGGCTGGGCTGTCGTCTCCATTCTCGGAGCTCTTAGCTTTGGAGCGTTTTCAGTTTCGTGGCCTCCTCCCTGATTCATAATTGCTACCACTGCCTCCACTTGTTCCCTGGTCCAGGTCATTATACTCGCTGTGGACGGAGTCGTCTTCCTAAAGTTGGGCTCAATACAGACTGAAGGAGATGATCTTTTGGCTTTGCTCGAGAGTCTTGTCAGCCTTCCTTCACACGGCCTACCAGATTAAATGCACATCTCTTCCTCAGCGGGCTGCCACTGCTCAGGACGGTGTAGGGCCGCAGTCAGAGCATAGGCTCAGTGTCTGGAGGCTGGGATCCGAGGCTGAGTCAGCCGTCTTACTAGCTGAGTGTCTTTGCGCGAGTTTCTTAGCCTGTCTGAGTTTGCTTTCTCATCTCAAGGTGGAGATAATGCTCTGACTGGGTTACTGGGCAGTTTACGTGAAATAACACGTTTGCAGTGCTCTCAGCACAGGGACTGGTGCAGAGGAAGCTTTTACGCGGTACATTTTCACCTGTATTTGGCTCTAGTTGTTTCTCCTCCCACCTCCCACCTTCCGCCTCCCAGAAAATAGTTTCACAGAGATGCTTCTAGGCTGGCACAGATCTTTGGATGAAATCCCGCTTTTGCTCAAATAATTAATAATAATTAAACTTTAAAAAAACCATGCACATGCCATTCTGTTTAATCCCAACTTAAGGACATTTGTAATCATTAGTATGTTAGCTTGTGGCTCCAGAGTGACATGTGCCTACTTCAGAGTAAAGCTGCTGACCTTTTCTCCCCACTGGAATGTCAGTTTCAGAGGGCAGCGGCCTTGTCTGTCTTGTTCTGCTGTGTCCCCAGCGCCTAGCACAGTGCTTGACCCTTGGTGGGCACTCCGAACCGTCTGCCCAGTGGGGGGTGAATGACTGCTAGGTACAGCGCACGTGCCTGGGCTGTCTCTGAGCTGAGGTCTGTGTGGCTGCGCGCGGACCACTGTACCGTGAGAAGAGCACAGGCTCGGGCTGCCAGTTAAATGCGCTCGTCCTGGGGAGTAATTGAGCAAGAACAAAGGTGAGAGGAGCAAGACAGCTGGAAACACCACATTATGTTTAATTTTAGTGTTTATTGGCCATTTTCAGTGCTTTACTGACTTAGATTGTGATGAGGAATATGAGCAGCTGATAGAGATTCAACTTTGTGAAAAGCTTTCCCTTTACTTGGTGAAGTTTCTGCATCTATTTAATTGAAGAGTATCCTGCAATTACAAGATGAATAAAGCTCATCTTTATTGTATGATCAGGATTCTTGAAAAAAATTGTTTACAAAGTGTAAAAGTAGTATTTGCTTACTTTAGAAAAAGAATTTAGATGGCGCTGAAGGTAGTCCTGTGAAATGTGAAAGCCCTCTTTCTGTCTTTCCACTCTCTCAAGGCTGGAGAGTGTAGTTTTTTAAATGCATACCTCCAGAGATCTTACATATACATATATAGATATAAGCCAGTTGTTGGTAAATATACTTAAAACCACGCAAATTGGTTGGTACTGTTTGAACTGTTTTGTGAGTGTAAGCTCTGGATTCAGACAGTCTTGGTTTGGATCCTGGCTCTTCTGTCATTTACTAGCTGTGTTACCTTGGAAAAGCGCTTAATATTTGTGTATCTTCTTTGCCTTTTTTGTGAAAGGAAACCCTGTGTCATGGGGTTATTCTGAGATTAAATGAGTTCATTGTTTGAACACTTAGCACAAGTGCCTGATACTTAATAAGCGCTCAGTATAGTTCAGTTGCTGCTGCTGAAAATTGCCATTTTCACTTAAGTATAACTTTGAGTATTTTTCCTTGTCATTACATATGTGTAGTGTGTATATACCTCGTTGAAAAAATATTTGCTTGATATTTCGTGGTATGGATATAGCGTGATTTGTTTAACCAGGCCTTCGGTAATGAGAACGTAGGTGGTTTCTGTTTTGTTTTGATATAGACAGTGCCACAGGGAGCATTTAGAGTGTTTTGCATATTTTTGGGCTATATGCTGGGTCAAAGGGGACAGGCACTTGGAATTTTGATGGACGCGGTCTCTGCAGCGCTCTCCCCCTTGCAGTGCATGACAGCGTGTCTCCTCCCTGCTTGTCCATGTGGGTGTGACAGGCGGATTGTCTGATATTGGGCAATCAGAACAAAATGCAGAAATTCGGCACGGGGGTTGTTATTCCTCACCCCTGATACCAATTTGTGATTTTTATCAAGGGAACTGCATGTTCCCATTTTTGACTTCATAATAAGTAAATGCTGTCAATCTGAACTCATAAAGTACACTTATGTTAATAAAATACTACATTTATTGTTCTATATATCGGGGTTCTATGTAAGATTTCATTTGTAACTTGGTTTCTGCTTAAAAATATCTGCTTTTTATAAATGTATGTTTTTTGAAGATAAGCAGTTCGCTGTTCCCTAAACCAATCACTATTTCTTTATCTTTGCTCTTTCCCCAATTAGCTTCCCTGCCTGCAAATTCCATTGTAAAAATGGGCTCTTTGGTTAGGCTCCTGTCATCTCACCAGCCAGATGACACTGCTTTTGAGTGCCCTGGAGCCTTGTTTTATCCCGTTACGGGACGCGCACAGCTCTTCAGTTACATTTAAGTCCTGTATGAAGCTGTTCTCTCCTGTTTTCTAGATTGTGCTTTCTGGAGATCAGAGGTGGTTTTTTATTCTGCCATTTGATTCCTTGCATAATGCCTTACACATAAGTAGGGATTAAATATG